TGGAGCAATGGCGGCGATAGTACCTTTGTTAGTTCGTTGATGAAGGAGGTCACAACATCATTTTGGGGCGTCTGGCATGCACCTATGTGCAAGGACGCGGGAGAACTAGGTGCCAACGCCCCAGTATGTGCTGCAGAAGTAGCTAACGGCCGCAGCAAGTGGTCTCCATGGTTGCCCCAAGTCGCATCGACCACCGCAGCCGGGTTGCAGCACTCCCACACGATGGGGTTTGCGTCACGCGGGGGAGATCAAGGCTCGGAGTGAGCGCGCCAGCGACACACATGGCCGGGCCGAAACCGACTCCTGGGGTCTACCGCACTCTCCAGCTCGTGTGGGGCAGCAACAGGGTGTGGCACGGAGTTCACAACCTCCGAGTGGAACAGTTTGACACACGGGATCACCATCTCCTCTTGGGCCCCCACATCCTAGGCTTGGTGTTGGCCGTTGATGTCACGAGTGGTCGGTCTCCCAAAGAAACGTTCTGCAACATGTTCAACAGCAACATGGGATTCCTGTCCTGAAGCGGAGACGTTCTTGTATTGCCTTTGTGGCCGAACGGTGCTTGCGGGAAGTCGATGTGGTGGTCCTCAAACCGAGCCACGATGCCTTTGGCCTCTGCGCCCAGCTATAGAGAGGGTTGTTGCTGACTTGTTCTGCTCCACGTTGGCGACTACCCACATACTCTCTGTCGTGGTGATGAGAGCGACAAAGCTCGAAGCGTTCCCGCTCACGATCCCGCGGAGCACGAGAAAGGCTTATGAAGAGACGTGAGTTTCATCTGTCTTCTTTACATCTGCGACGACCCCAACAGTTGCGGTCATCGTCGTCGTCTCTCCTGCTATTGCAGCGCCCAGGGGGATGGGGCCGTGCCGGTCGCGCAGAGACGCTCGCCATCGATGATGCCTGCCCACCAGATGAGCTTCTGGGTGAGCGAGCGTTCCTTCCTCCCCAAGAAGTGTTCCGACGGGTCGAGGTGAATTATCACTCGGGAACGTGAGGTCGCGATGGCCAGCACCCTTCTGAGATGGAGAGATGGAGCAGCAACACCATCATGGACCACCACGCCACGGTCAGTGATAGTGAGCCATGTTACCTTCGAGATATTGGAGGGGTTCTTGGTCCAAGCCCACAGGTTGAGGGTGCGGGTGTCTTCCTTACGCAGCAAAGAAGGCTCGACGTAGTGGTCACAGGTGTCGGCCACCAGCTTGATTCCAATTTCTTTTGTCCACGCGTGCAGACGCAAACCATCCAGGCAGAGGCGGCCATGGAGCTTCATGTCAACATGGTCCAAGCCCACATGCCTGACGCGGATGTCAAGGTTGCCCAAGTTGAAGTTTATGCGATCGACGGTGGCATCAGGCATGGAACTTCATGTCAACATGGTCCAAGCCCACATGCCTGACGCGGATGTCGAGGTTGCCCAAGTTGAAGTTTCTGCAGTCGACGGTGGCATCGTGATCGTGGCGATGCTTAAAGATGACGATGAAATCTTCAGGGTAGTGCTTGGCAACTGAAAGCTCCAGTTTGATTTTGGTTAATTGATGAAACCTATTGGACTAACTCTTGGCTAAGTGTGTTGATTAGTAAAGGTAGTCCAAGCTAAGTTGTGGAGCAAAGTAATGATCATGATGGTGGATGGTGAAGGCCACAAGTAGATGAATCAAGTGCTCACACTTCGGAAAAGAAGAAAGAAAAACAAAAGAGATCAAGACAAAGGTATAACTTGATAAAGTTCTTTTGTTTTGGCACTCAAGACACCATAGAGGGTGTGAGTGTGTTTAGGATAGATAGCCGTACTATGAAGAGGGGAGAATCTCGGTTAACGCGGTTATCAAGTGCCACTAGGTGGAATCATACATGCATTTGCATTAGGACCTAGTGTGCTAACTTAACACCCTTGAAAATGCTTTGAAGAATATGCTAACACACATGCACATGGTGGTGTACACTTGATGGTGTTGTCACATTTACTAAAGGGTAGAAGTTCGGTGGTGAAGAAAGAGGAGAAACTAGTGGATAGTCCCTCTCCCTCCTGCCGAGCTTGCGAGGCTTGATTCAGCGAATTTTCGGAAGTGTTCTTCACTGTTTTTAGTGCACCGGATGCTGGCTTCGGGAGCACCGGGCGCTGAGAGGAAAGTTGATCGGACGCGCGGGTGCAACTGTTCATGTGTCCGGTCGATACAGAGAAGAGTTGCGTTGACCGGACGCAGCACCGGACGCACGCGTCCGTGCGTCCGGTGACAGTCCAGAGAGGTTCCAGAGAGGGTTTTGCACGACCGGACGCGTCCGGTGCATACCGATCGGACGCGATGCGTCCGGTCGTTATTGGAACTTTGTTTCGTACAATAGCCGTTGGACGACCAGACGCTGGACCAGACGCTAGTGAGCGCGGCAACGACTATTTTCAAACGGCCAGTACAAGTGGCGTCACGAAGGCGACCGGACGCTGCACTGGACGCGTCCGGTGCAACATTAACGTGCCTCCGGTCAATGCGCAGTGAGCTGCTTTTGTTCCTAACGGCTCTATTGTTTTGGGGGCTCTATAAATAGATGTTGGCCGGCTCTAGCTCACTCTCTTGCATATTTTCATTGACATTGCATCCTTGTGAGCTAGGCCAAACCTCTCCCACTCATCTCCTTGCTTGATATTGCAAATCAAAGTGAGATTGAGTAATTCCAAGTGCATTTGCTTGTGTTGTTGCATCTAGTGGCACTTGGCGATCGTTTTACTGCGGTTTTTCTTGTTACTCTTGGTGGTTGCCGCTACCTAGACGGCTTGCAGCAGCGGAGGAGTTGTGGCAAGAGTTGGTGATTGTTCTTGGCCACCTCCCGGTGATTTGTGAGGGGTTCTTGTGCCTTCCCCGGCGGAGTGCCAAAGACAACTCTAGTAAATTGCTCGTGTCATTAAGTTACCTCACTTGTGGGTCGGTTCTTGCGGTGTCCAACGTGTGGACGAGGTTCGTGCTACACCTCTTAGCCGCCGAACCACCAAGTGTTGGTCGACACAACGGGGACGTAGCGTGCCAGCAAGCACGTGAACCTCGGGAGAAAATTGATTGTCTCTTGCCATTGGATTTCTCCTGGTATTCTTATTGTGTTGACAAGTTGATTGGTTCATCACCTCTACACGGCGGTATAAACCTCTCCATCCTATCTTTACTTTGTGCAAACTAGTTGTAACGAGCTCTTTAGTGTAATTAGTTTTGAGAGCTTGTCTTACCCTTGCTAGTTTATTTTCTCATCTAGTTGAGCTCTTTAGTGTAGCTAGCTTTGAGAGCTCTTAGTGACCTAGCCTTTGATTGTCTTAGAGATTATAGCAATTAGAATTATTGGGATAGGAGGCTTGCAACACTTGTTAGAGCTAGTGCAAAAAGCTTTATAGCCTTTTAGTAGTCTAACAAGTTTGTCTAGTGGTTTGTAGTTTTTAAAATAGGCTATTCACCCCCCTCTAGCCAATTAGGACCTTTCAACGACGGAGAGGTTTTTCGGTAGGACGGAGAACTCTGTGTAGAACGCCTCCACCATGACGTCCACCCTGACTTTGGGTCTATCCCACCCAAGCAGCACCAGAACAGCCAACGAGGTGAGGTGGGCAAGCTCACGATCCATGTCCTGGGAGGCGACTGTGACGAAGCTCTCAACAGGCCTAGTTACAGGGTCACCATGGCACGACATTGCTCTTGCTGGGAGCGGGGGAAAGTTGGCGCTGTCCAGCTGTGGCGGTGGTGGTCATGGTTTCCGAAGCTTTGGGCAATGGAGCGCTTTCTAGTCGTTGACGCCGCAGTTGGCGCACTTGAGGGGGTCCCTAAAAGGGGAGGCAAAGTGGCCGTGACCCAGGCAGCGAAGGCATTTACCTCAAATTCTTACCATGAATTCATTGCGACGCAACTCGCGAGATCCGGAGGTGGGTGGGTTGCTTGGATGCTCTCGACCTCTGGGATCCTCTTTCCACCACCAGAGTTTCATCTGCGTAGGTTGCCATCCCTCCGAATCCTTTCCATTAGCAACGCAGATATGCTCGGATTTTGGAGGGGCGTCGGTCGACTCTAGGAGCAGGAGCGAACACACTTCACAATCGGCTGCAAGGAGGCCAGGGTCGGGCACAGCGAGAACGACGACGATGGACTGAAGCCGCGGCCGCGGAGGTGGCGCCGTGGGTGGGGTAGACTGGTGCTTGCTAGGGTATGGTGGATGTGGGGTTGGAGTACCTGGATCTATCGTGTGGAGGCTTGAGGTGGCAGCTGGTGGACGCTCGATGGAAGCATTGCGGGCAGCGGGCGCTATCACCATGGGGGGGCACGCGAGACCCAGCCAGTTTTCCAAACCGATGCTCAGTATTTTTGATTCAGAGCAGCTTACAAAACCAAAACCAGAGGTTCTGAATATTTGCTGATCCTGAATCTCGAATTCATCCTTGTATTAGATCTTTTTTTGCAGGTACAAATCTGAGACTCATATCCTCAAACACCACCTGAACTCATGCACACATCTCCAAACTAGATTAGACCTTATGTACTGACCTGATTAGACCTTATGTGATAGCCGATCTCGGTACAAAACATTTTTCAATGGGAAACAAAGAGGCTAGGAACATGTTTCCTTTCCCAGAGGTATGTGAACATGGCTCCAAGGAAAGTTACGCCCTCATGAAGGGAGGCATTGTCGCTGAAAGACGGGTCACACGAAAGTAGCAGTCGAGGGCACAATACGAGGAGCTGTGGATAACAAGGGTGGTGGAGACGCTAACTGGCTTGTAGTGCTAGCGTCAGCGTGTCAAGGTGGGGTAGGTGAGGATTAGGATTTACTTTGTTATACATAAGTTTAGTCAGATTTGGTCTGTTGGCTGGCGACGGGATTGCTAGAAGTTTGTGTGATTTGGACAAAACAAATCATGTGGGTGAGAATTAAACAGCTCATATATATATTAGTTGATCCTATAGCTTAGCAAATGTCGTAAATAAAAGAGATAGAAAATAGGAAAAGAGATGTTGATCACTTACCTTCGCTACGGTCGGCGATACGAAAATGCTTTTGCCAATAACGGCAGCCCGTGTATATGGAACCATCACGGTGGCTGCTGGACCCAAGTGGCCTCAGATTGGCAACACAGTCGCAGGGGTAACAAGTAGAGATGTCTTGCGTGCACCTTTCTTGATCATCACTAACCTCACCAGCACTTACATCCTCTGTTGCCTCCGTCGAATCCTCCTCACCATTAGCTAGTGCCTCACATAGATCTTGTTCGCCATCAGTGACCTCCGTAATTGTCCTGCTAGCATCTCGATCACCATGAATGGCATCCTCAATTTGCCGTCCATCTTGTTCACCATTGGCAAAACAACCATCGCCATAACAAGCACTGAACTCCTTGATTGGGCTCCTAGTACCTTCATTATTCATGCCCCCGGTGGCGGGAAGGTGCTTAACTGGGGAAATCCTGCCATATATATCATTGGAGGTATGCATAGGGTTGGTCGTTTGCCGAACAAGACTTGAAAATTAAAGTTGGTCGCTATCCTGGTGCAAAATTTTAGAAACAGACCGAAGGCGCAAGGTTTTGGGTTGGAACAGGAAGACATACCGTGGTAGACGACGGACAGGCGGATCGGGTGCCGCCGCCATGACTCGAGTGCCTCGTCGCACCAGCGCTGGGCACCCGCGAGACGGAGGGGAGCCCCTGTAGGGGAGGAGACGTCGCGAGGGATGGAAGAGGCGGCGCATTGGGGCAAGAGAAGTGGCGCGTCCGAGGAGACGAAAGATCGAGCGCGGGATTTGCATCTGCTCCACCGGCGGCGGATCGTCAGCGCATCCCACCCTTCTGCAGTGATCCAAACGATGGGCAGCTCCCACGATCTTCCCCTCCCCACGCGCTGGGCCTCGGCCCAACAAGAGCACGGCCTGTTTCTGCGGCTGCTCACTTTTTTAGCGCGAATGCATACATGTTTTGGGTGAAAAAAGTCCACTTTACATCCCTAACTTTTGCGAAATTTTGTTTTTCCTCCTTAAACTTTAAAACCGGCTAAACCATCTTCCTGAACTTTTAAAACCGTTCGTCTTACTTCTCTTACCGGTTATAAGCGGTTTTTAAAGATGATTTTATCTTTTTTATTTATTTTGAATAAATCTTTAAAAAATCTATCTCTAGTCTAGTAATAAAAAAACAAAATTTCTGATTTTTCTTCGTCCAGCCTATTCAATTTGCCCACCGTCCCGGCCTCCGTTTTCGTCTGGCCCATTCTTCAGCCAACTGTCGCACTCGTTCCGCGGCCCTCTCCCTCGCTTGGACGATGACTCTCTCCCCCGCTTCGTCTCTACCGCACGGCATGGTGCCGCCCTTCTCTCCCTCCCCTGCTCCATCTCTCCCGCAGAGGGCACACGTCTCCTCTGCCTCACCACTCCCTCCGCTCTCTTTCACCTCTAGCCGGGCCTGTCCAGCCATGCCCGGCGTGGAATCGAGCCGAGATTCTGTCCCTGTGCGCCTCTCCGCTCCCTGCGAAGGTGGCAGCCGGGATCCACGAGCGGACACCGCAGCCGCCTCGCCCCTCCCCGAGCCTCCTCCCCCGCTCCCGCGCCCTACACGCCGCCGCTGTTGCCATTGACGAGCCATGCTCCGAGCGGTGCCAGCATTCCGTCGCTCTGTGTTGCTGAAGAAATTAGAAGGTAAAACTCTCCCTTGGAGAGGCTTCAGACTCTCGTTGCTCTGTGTTGGTGACAAAAATTGATTTGAACTCCCGTTGCTATGTGTTGTTTAGGAAAATTGAATTGAACGTGGAACAGAGTCGGCTTGGGTCAGGAATGTGCATGATGTGTTCGAATTCAGGTTTCTAGCTTTCCCCCCTTTTTCCTCTTATATATTGTAGCCCATGATTCCGCCGCAGCCACACCCGGTAGCCTCCCTCGCCCACCATGGTGATAATACCGATGAGAACAAGGCCAAGAAGTTCCTGAAGTGGACACTTTCCTTCATGGACGGCCTGGCGTCAGGCTCTGATCCGTCGAGATCTACGACTGGGATCCCTAACCAAGCAGGACACTGAGGAACTGTCGGAGCTCACCAATTTTGTGCATCAGGCAGCGGCATCGCTTCTTGCATGAACCGTTGTGGCAGTGTGTCCTCGATCACCTCAATGTTGCAATCCACATCAACATGGAGCGCGTACATGGCGAGTTTAATGATATGTCTATGAAACTGCTTTGGGAAATTCAGTTGAACATGATTGTTATGATAAATGACAAGTATATGTCTGAGGTTTCATGTTGATTAATCCTTGTTTTCTGTAGAAGCCTAGAAGGCTTGATATCTGAAGTTCTTTCCCCAAAAAGAGCTAGCCTTGAACATAATGGAGGAGGCGAGGAACTGGAATGTGGTGGGCATGGAGGTGTGCACATACGACCAGCGACACACCGAGGAACAACGGTGTCTCTTAAAGAGATCCAGAATTTTTCTTCTATGGACTTATGAAGGGATTGGGAGGTAAATGCAGTTCAATTTCTAAAGAACACGGTTGCAGGTTCACACGATCTAACAAAGAAATAATACTACAATTTTCTACAAGCAATTTTTAATCAGCTTATTAGCTGGGTCAGTTCATCCATAGTATATGCGCCATTCATAGCCTGATTCAAATGCAGCAAACAAGTGTGTTGTTATAGATCACATGGTCCAATAGTTGAATTCTGAGATCAGGTGGGACATAAGGATGGCGCTGAGCGCCTATGGATCATTTAGCAGCAGAAAATACCTCTACTCGCAACGCCTTTGGTAGGCTGACATGCATTTATAGGATAATGCATTGTCCAAATGAACAATGTATGTGACAGAATCAGGATTCTACAAAATTTGTCTACAGATAGCATTAGATGTACTTCCATGAGATGATCTTCTACACGACCGACACCATCGTCACTCTGATGACGGGTCATAAGCAACTCGAGCCCTTGTCCAAATTAAAAAGGAGTTGATAGTGTTTGTGGCTGTGGATGCTCCAGCAACTCCACACCATTAGCAAGCAAAATATGTCGATTATTTGGACTTCATCTGAGTTATGGGAGAAGGGAATGATTGCAACTCAAGTTCACTAAGCATTTCAATAGCCCAGGAAAGAGACTTCACATGACTTTCAGGATTACAGTTGTAAGGTATAGTTTGGATCAGGTATTTAGCTTAAGTTAACTTTCCAGTCTTCATCAAAAAGACGGCTAAGTTACACTCTTTGCACCATTGCTGAATATACTGATCATATCTTCTTTAGTTGTTCTATTGCTAGAGTGGGTTGGTCGTGTCTCAGAGATGTGCAGCACTGGCAGGGCTTCTCAATGTCTATAGCAGACCTGTGGGGTAATTGGCTTGGGAATAAATTCAGGGTGCCAAATAAAATGGCAACTAAGCATCATATCCCAAATAAACCAACTGATGTTGTATTAATTAATATTTGACAAGAAAGAGAGCAAGAAATGACCTGACGTGACTTCCAACCCAAGATAGTGTCAGCCAACAGACATTAGAAGTGATATGATGGTAATGGTTGTTTTAGTCTGAAGTAGCACCTTTTGTCTGGATGGTTTTCTCTGGTCTCTTTGCACTTCCTGTAATTTGGTGTCCCAGTATGATGTATTAAACAGATATTAGTTTTCAATAAAAGCTGAGCTATTTCTCATTAAAAAAAAACTTGTTAACAGCAACATTCATGCAACGTTCATGTGATAATTAATTAATTTAAGGTGACTTATTTTCGTTGAGCACAACATAACAAACCTTAAATTAGAGCTAAAGGACAAATACTTTTCTTGAGAAAAATTAGGTCAATACTACATATATGTTGACATTTACAATATGAAGAATTTTATTTTATATTCTCAACGCACGGCCAAATTTCCTAGTCATAATAAATCACAAAAAATCATAAAATGAAAAATCTAATTTTGTTGGACTCCACATGAGTAGATTTACAAACATATAATGTGGTATGCTTTAGTACAATTTTTTTGCTGTAGATTTAGATCTATGCTTTTCTGTAATAAATTCATAGCTGCAATTTCTATGGTCCAATTGCGGTGAAATTTTTATGGTGGGCTAATTATTGTATGATTGAACTGTAGTAAAAATTTCAAAAAGCCGAGTAGCATGAGGAGCGCGTGTGAGCTGTTATCAACAACTTCGACTTCGTTCGAACGGCAACGCCAGGTAGGCAACCCACTATTATAAACCCTACTTTGGAGTTTGTATACTTACTTTGTTGCATTATGAGTTATGTATTGCATGTAGACTTGGATAGTGATCTCTTACACCATACCTAGAGTAGTCTAATAATCTGTGGAAGCCTCTCATCTAAACAATGGGAATGGGATGCTTAATGCTTATTGCTTAGTTATGGGACAATGGTAGAAGTCGAGCATGAGAAGGGAACTCATACTCGTGAGTGTAGGATGCTACACCTGGATAATTAACCACTAAAATCTATGAGGTTATAACTTGACTCACCTAACTAATCCAGCTAAGGTCTAAGGACCCTAATATGGTAATCTTAAGGATAACTTGGATATCTTGCTCATGCGAGGGGTAGGTCGTTGTGAGTGTGGGATCTCAGATGACATAGCTCGTAGAGCAGTAACGACCGTGTATTGAGATACGTAAGTCCGAGTAACCACCCGGACAAACCACATGTCGCGGATGGGGTCAAAGTTGGCATTTCTTAGCGACATCACCGAAAATGGAGGTTTAAGTCCATCCCGGCAACAGCGCCAAAAATGCTTGTTGGTGTTTCTTAACGCAATCACCTAATAAGGACGACGTCAGAAATGCCGGTTGGTATTCCTTAGCACCATCACTGAGATTGAGTTAACCTTAGCGACGCCGCCAAGAAATAGCAACCATGATAGACCTATAATAATTACAGACAAAATCTGCAAGCGTACGGAGCTATTATTGTAGCATTTCACCCAAAAATATTCAGGATATCGTTATTTATATTTTCTTAAAGGAGGGCAATGTGTAATGTGTCTAGCATGGGCATGAATAAGATTACATACTTGTATAGCAAACCAAAGTTCATGATGGGGGTAAAAAAAGGTATTTTAAAGATAGTAGACCCTCATCTGGGCTAACCTCAAGGATAAAAGGAAAACAAAGAATAAAAGAATATTCCTAAGTGGAGCAGGTATGTTCTAATATAGCCGTGCAGAGAACAGTTAATGATCATACAAGTTATATGACTAGAGTTAGAGCTAAGTTTAAGATGGACGGGGAGATCTCCACGCACTGGTCGGCCAGCAAGCCCGAGAGACTTTAAGACTCCTGCATAATACCCGGATGTGGGGGATTACAATGGACGGATAGGGCTATCACCACCTGCCGCCTACCCCTCAACCGTAGGATACTGTCATATCCGCAGGTTCCCGTGTACCCGAGCACCATGCCCGTGTATAAAGAAACTACCTATACCCCTAGGTCCTCGACCCTACGAATCGACAGGTAAAGGATATAGGCAACTCCGAAGGCAACGAACCGCCACCTCAACCAAACCCTACTTCTACTTATACAAATCTTATGAAAGATTAAGCACCAAGTTGAACATGTTAAGATCATGACACCTAAACTATATGCTAGTTCATATATCATGATTATAACAAGACAACTATACTCTAGTTCATATGCACTACTATATGAATGATATGAGAGCTTGAATATAGAAGAACTCTTCATAGTATTATTCATACTAAGTTGCTCTTCTTCCAAGGAGACAAGCTCTTCTAGGTAGCTCTTGCCTTGCTCACAAACTACTAAAGCTAAGAACTAGAGAATACAAGTAGAGAGGTGAGTTGTAGCCCCAAATGATGGTGTGTGTTGAAGAATGAGCTCCTCCTTTTCTTATATAGTGAAGCGTGGTTGGTTTGGCATAGGAAAATAAGGAAACTGGCCAAAACCGCCTATGCATGGCGGCATACAACCGCTAGAGGAGCATGGGCCCGAGAGGCGGTAGGGGGTGAGGGTGCGGTCACGCCCTGGCTGGCGCGCTTCGCGACCGCCTTCGCCTGGTCGTTTGCTAAGTGGGCCTAGGCCACTGCCACGTCGGTGCTCGACCTAGATTCTTCGTTGGAGTGGGCTTTTGCTTGTCTCTTTGGTATGAGATCTGCATTATGCTTTCTGCTAGGCGTATTTTGGAATGTTTTGTTCATTTTCCACTTGTTTCTGGATGTGACCTGCAAAACATATTTTCTCGAATACAAGTGGAACTAGGTTAATAGTAAAAGCATATGTGTCAAAAGTTTGTTTATTTCTCCTATTTTGGACTATAATTGATGGTCGAAGATGGTCATTAGTAACCGCCAACAAATCCCCCAAGCATAACATTTGCTCGTCCCAAGCAAACAGCTAAGTACTTGGTTGTTGATCAGGAGTTGCTACTATGCTGATATAATTCACAAGTGCCATGTCTATAACAAAGTATTCTTTCGTAATTCAATTAAATTGGCATTTTATCCACCATTTACCTTGATCCCTGTGGGGCATATATTTTTTCCAAGTTCTTGGGCAGTTGCATGATAAAACGGTTATAACAGAATTACCAGTCATTTGTTCTTTGATTGACTGTCTATCCGGAGGTTTTATAAGTTTTTGCAAAGAAATATAAGTTCCTCGAATGATTCTCTTGATCACTCAATGTGTATGAAACCTCACCAAAGGCATTTGAATTTGCCTTCTTTTCATATCCTACCACTAAAGGCTTTGAGTGGAGTTTTAGGTAGGTATGGAAGTGGGGCATACTTGCATCACATATTTTGCTAAGTCAAAGACCGAACCTCAAGGAGATGCAAGACATACACTTTGATCAAGACGTGCAAGTGTGGATTTTTTTCATAATGTTCCTAATTCTAAATATTTTTGTACTCATTTGAATCATGACTCTCTCTCTTTTGGATGAATGCCTTTTATTTGAAAGTATAGGCTATCTTATTTCTTTCTTTTCTTTTTCTTTTCTCTTTTCTTCAGGCTCTTTGGCATGCATTTTTTTTCTCATGCCTTTTGGCATGGATATTTTTTTTAGCATAGCCCATATCTTTCTTTTTGGCATATGAAACTTTTTTGGAGAGAGAGATCATGATAAAGTGGATGGAGTAATATTTTGGTGGACGGAAGAAACATGTGCATAACTCTCAGTGTAA